TTTCTCGTCCTCAACCTCCAAAAGTGGGGGTGAGATGGAACTGGCCCTTGGGGATCCAGAAATCCTTGAAGGAGAAGGGGATGGAGAAAGTGGAGCCGCCCTTAGGAGGGGGGGATCTCACCAAAGGCAAAGGGGCCTTATCTCCGCCTCCCTGCGTGGACTTCTCCCCATCCCCTGTATTCCCTTGCCTGGAGGGAGCTTGTTTCACCAGTGGAGGAGGATCCTGGGGAAAACCCTTCCTCTTCTTGGAGCTCTTAGAGGGAGCTGCTGAAGTAACTCCAGAGCTACTTTCACCAAGGGAATCAGCCATGGCACTGTAGCGATCTCCGTGCCCCAAGGCCTCACTCTACCTAGTTCAGGAACCAGCACAGTAATCTGCGACTATTCTCACCGGAGCCGGCACTCGTGATAGCAAGAAAACAGAAACAAAATGGCCGGTGAAAATGTGACCCACTGGATGCTCAAAAATGGCTGCCGCCTCATGGTCACTAACAAAATGGCCATTGCTACAAAGACGTCCCCAAGATGGCCACCGCCCAATAAGGTCTCCCCAAAACTGGCCACCCCAGGGCCTCCCTCACAAGGGAGAAGCCTTTGGGGAAAACCAGCAGTGCCGGTGAGCAAACAGCCCCAAGAACGTCCGGTCAGCCGTGCAGCTCTCCCGTAAGTCCAGGCGGCGCCAATCGTGCCCTCTTGTCATCTCTCCAGCTACGCAGAAATGCCGGCGCACCACACTGGTGCTCCTGCACCAGCAGCTTCACTGCAGCCCGTGAACCAGTGGCAGCGCAGGGAAACCTTATGAGCCAGTAATCGGAATAAAGCCAAACGGAGCCGCAATAGACTCCAATGGCCGGCACAGCCGGCTGCTTACTTGCGAGGAACCTGAGAACCTCAAGGAGGATCCAGCCCGCACAATTCACTATTCTAACACAAATAGGTGGGAAAGAACTTGTGAGCCAAGTTCAAACATCTTCCTTCCACTAATAACATTAAAGATAAGCAAAAGAAAAATAAATAAATGAAAAACTATTCTAAGAAAGAAACCAATTTTCACTCACAGTCAAAAAATTTACATCTCTTTTCGGGCAAGACTGAGCCGGAATTGGATATCAGCAGGGGAAGCTGGAGACGTGGCTTCAATTCTGACTTAGTCTCTTGGGCAAATAAGGATTGAACAACTCATTCCTGGACCCTCCTGCGCCATCAACTGGAGACGTTTCTGGTTTTATCTTTATATTCACTTTGAGAATTTTCTATATTAAGATATGAATCCTACTCCAATATTTCTTTGCTTATCACAAACCACCATAAATGATAAAAGGTGTCTTCTTTACATTTATCTTTCCAATATTCATTTGAAACATCTTTATACATTCTTAACAACTTATATCAGTGATGGCTAACCTTTTTTCTCCTCACGTGCCAAAATCATGCACGCACCAGTGTGCACCAGTGCCCACACCCATAGTGCAATGCGCTCCATCCCCTTGTGCATGCACGTGCATCTCCTGCATGCACAGCAGGGACCTGAAAATCAGCTGGCCAGCAGTAGGCGCAGGCGCATGTACAGTGGAGCTGAGTTGGGTACAGCTTGAGCGCCTGCAAAGAGGGCTCTATGTGCCACTTGTGGCATGTGTGCCATAGGTTCGCCATCACCGATTTACATAAATACCAATGATACATTATCTTATAGAAATTTTCTTTTAGATTATAGTGTAACTATAACTTCATTATACCATAAATAGTCATGCCATCCAAATTTTAATTTGTGGCCCACGAAATTGAGTAACCTCTTATTCTAAAGATTAATCCACTCTTTTAGCCAACTAAACAACAAGCATCAAAGTACAATTTCAAGTCTGATAAACCCAAACCCCCTCTTTCCTTAGCATCTTGAAGTAATTTATATCTAACTCTTGGGTTTTTTTCCCTTGCCAGATACTAAATGAACTGTTGTTAAATCGAGGACTACCTGTAACTACATATCTGTATGAATGAATAGCTGGTTTTCTGCCGATACTGGCAGAAATGTTGCATGAACTGAGGCAGCCATCTGAACTTTGCAAAACATGCAGCTGCTTTAAAAATTCAGAGATGCTTTTGTTTACAAAAATACACCTTATAAAACATCTCTCTAAAAAATTTTAGACCCCTAGTAATTAACCATTTTAACAACCTGATGAATGCCACAAGAAAAACAGTATGATAAAAAGTTTTAAAAAGTACCTTCTGCATATAAACAACTTTCTAAAATGATACATCTTTTAACACCAATGGCACACGTAACTTCTCTTTCTATAAATGCATCCCCTGGTCACTAGAGGGTAAGGAGTGCAACTGTTTTCAAATTGCACATCTAATTTCAGAATATTTTATAATGCAGAGACAAAACTAGATGGGATTTATCATCAGGAAAGAAAAATAGAAACATTGCTCATAGATAACTTCAAAACTATCTAGCTCATCGTTTTAGCTATCACAAATCTCTAACAGATTCATAAAACAAACATTTTTCTGTGTAAACACTCATAAACAGCTATATTTGATTTACATACAATTTAACTTTCATAATCCACAACTGTAACAGCTTTCACAATGAGTGTTGGATAAAAATCGGGTCCTAGGTCTCGAAATATTGCAAATATCTTGTTGAGTGACACTCTAAACATACAGGCCAGAGGTTTAAATCACAAAAACATATCCTCAGGCTCTATTGATTTCCAATAAAAAAAAGCTTTAAGGGCCCAGCAATTCAGATCTTGGCTAAATGCTACAGATTATCTTATTCCATTTAAATTTTCAACCTTTTAAAATCTCTTTTTTCGTTCTGAAAACTTTTTGTTCTGCTGTTGTGTACCTCTAGATCTTTATGTACCATTATATATTTACAAGTGTATTTAAAGATCTAAGTCTACACAACAGCAAACAAAAAGTTAATTTTTGTTAAGTTTTGATATAAATTGAGCTAGAACATTCATTTAACTATAGCAATAGAAAAGAAGCCTAGGACATGACAAATTACAGTAGGCAATAATGTGGTTTGTAAACCTTTGTCAAAATATTTTGCAAACTGTGGCTCATAACCTAATATGTGTGAATTGAGGCACTGTAATTACTACAGAGACACAGTTAACAAGCTAACTTAGCAGAAGACAAGCCTCATAATCGTCTCCAAAATCTTTAAAATTCATATACAAACACTGTAATAAATTAGTTTCTTCTTGTTTTTTTTACAGTACATAAACCAGACTGAGATGGGGAAATAATTTATTTCACTCTGAATTAGAAACTGAGAATTAAAATTTATAATTCTAATTAGAATTTTATACTACAAATATTTAGTTCACAGGCAAATCAGAGAGATTGAAAGCCTACACATTGTTGAAAACTGGGTGTTATTCTAAGTACTTGTATCTATGGTTTTAAAAATAGTCATTCCAAAGCTCACATTGTCACATATTTGTATGGTTTTACATGGAAGGTAATAAATACTATTCACATTTAAACACCTGGTTATTAAAAGTCATGTCTTCTTTAAACCATGAATAAATACTTATGGTTTGGAACAGTAGATGGGTGATACTCTTTCATTTACTTAACTAAGGAAAAGAGCTTTCAGCTTGGCTAATTTATTTCTGTTTATTAAAAATATTTAGTGCATACTTTTACAAATTTTCTATTATAAGTTTATGCCCTCGTATAACAATTTAAACAATATAGTTAACATTTATACAATATCAAATCATGTATTTTTGTTACCTTATTGTAATAAAACAATATAAGTCAACTGTTCTCTCATAGTTGTATGACTTAAGTATCAGAGTTCCTTTCAAAAGAACTAAACCAAATATATGGAGCATGTCTATTTTAAAGTTAAACAGAGTTAATAGTTTTAGGAATGTTTCCAACTATGAAACACCAGAGGAACATAATTACTACACTCTTCTCCAGTTGCCATATCAACCCCATCCAGCACTACTACTGTACAGTATTTATATTTTATATTTATATTTCATCTTTCCTCTTAGAGGTCAAGGTAGCTTGGCATGGAAATCTCTAACGTTATCCCCACCAAAAGAACCCTGTAAAGTTAATTAGGCAAAGTGGCTAATCCAGAATCACCTAGTAAATTTCCATGGTTAAGAATGAATTTAAACATGAGTCTCCCTTCTTCCTAGTCCACCAATAATCAATATGCCACATTGCACTGCAGCTCCTGGAATCTTTTATTTAAACTATGGTTTCATGGTAACACTAAACTTGGAATAATTCCCCAATCACTGGTTAGTCTGTGCGATAGAGGAGCGAGGCTAAACGGCTTCTGGGCCAAAAAGCTCCTTCTGCTCCCCGTGGCATGCGAAGCCCAGCAGCTTGCCGGGACCCAGCCGTCGCCCCCAAGGAGCTACCCTTCACTTTATCCTGCCGCCTTAACTAAGCAAGAGACTCGCCTCCCACTTGCTCCCTTCCAGTCGCCGGCCAGGCTCCAACTCCACCTTCAACTGTCAACAGCTGAAGAGGCGGGGTAAAGGAATACAGGAGAGAGACCCTCCCGAGTCCAGATTTGACTGTGCTGAAGAGCGCTGGCGCCTTCGTTTTGGAGAACGTCGCCTATTGCTATCTTTTGTTAACCATCCAGTTAGCTTAGGTTGTACAAACCCAGAACGGGTTGGAAGTACTGTGGTCAGGAAAGGGCTCGCGTGCCTACGCGCGTGGTTTTTGCGAGGATAATTAAGAACAGAGTAACTAAGAACCTAAGTTTGTTAACCTTTAAAATAGTAGTGTCTGTTGAAAATGCAAGACCCGAAGGCAGCTTTTCTCCGTCAAAACGCCGTCTGCGAAATGTCCCTAATACACACTGCTTGTTCTACCCCGCCCTGAGCAACTTGCAGCCGAGAGGAATAAAAACCGGGACAAGCCTCTCCCCTTTGCTCTTTCTCATATCTCCAGCTCTTCTCCTATTTAAAACTACGTCTACAATGTTTCCCCTCGAATAGCCTTACCCGCTGGCGGGTTTGTAGTTCCCGGACTGAGTAGCCCCGGTCTCCATAGTTAGTTTGAAAACGGGTTCTTGCGCTGCCTTGAATGAAACTGCTCAACTCAATTAAATTGCAGCTGGCGGTGGTGGGCGTCTGCTGGGCCAATTGGTTGACGCGCGGCGTTTCATTCACGCCGGGCTCTCACTCTAGCTGAGTCCCGAGCTTTCTGCCTTCTCCTATGTGGGAACGCGGGGCGTCTAAAAAGAGGATAAGCGCCGAGAGGAAAGTTATTGCTGGCTCTCGACTGGCATCCAGGGAGCAACTAGAAAGGCAACTTCCGTCCCGAGGCCAAGAGAGAGAGAGGCACAGACAAGGGCAATCTCTTAGCTTGCTGTCCCGTTGGGGAGCTGAATGTCTTGCAGGATAACAACGACTTTTTGTTGTTGCGTTTGCTAGGAAGGCAGATAGGGAAGCTATGCAATATTTATAGGCAGGTGTTTTCTTTCGGAGGCCCAGCGAACCGGATGTGTTATCTAAACTAATTAGCGTATCGGGAGCAATTGCTGATTATTAAAGGACCAGAACATATCCCCGTATGTAGGTACCGACCAAATTATTCCTAAACCGGTTAGAGATAAGAGTAAGCACAAGGTTGGGTGCGTGACATTAAAACGTTCACAAATGGTTTGTATAATAGCCCTTAGGCTGCAGTAGTGTAGTGTAACAGACTCTCCCATTCCGCTGGGTATCAGTTCTTTTCTAAAGTCAGACCTGTTAAATAATGCCGAACCGGCATTCATAATCTTGGATCTGAAATGGAGAATTGAGCTGTAGCACCTGTTAGAGAAGCTAAGCTTTGGGAATAATACACGCTGTAGTGAAATGGTTACAGTTACTCGCCGACAATACAAAGCTCGCTTCAAGCTCCAATACCACTTTGGCTCGTGCAAAGGGCAGGTTCCTCACCATGCTATAATATAGAAAATTTAGACCAAGGCTGGGGACGTGGAGCAGCGAATAAGCAACTGAAGAATGACTACAAGGTCAAGTGAGAAAGGCAAGCGGCGACGCACCACATTTTTGTCAGTGGTTATGAGCAAAAGCGGGCTTGCGAACAAATGCAGATCGCACACCTGCCACCGTCAGAGAAAGGATTTAGATTGCATAATCAAGAATCCCAAAACTCGATTCCTGCCTATGGTGTGTTTCTGAAAAGAAGCCCCATTCCCTTCGTAAATGCTGCATCCCTTAAAAGAGGAGGGCAGTTTTAAATTCCTGTAGTGAACTACTGTAATGAAAACTTGAGGGAGGGGAGTTTTCTTTCTTCTTTTTTTTTTTTGGAGGGATGAATATATAAATTCAGAGTCCTCCTCTAATGTAAACAAGATCAAAGCTTGTCTTTATACAGCCACAGTCTTTGTTACAAAATGATTTTATAAACAAAGGTGATGGTGTTTGGGGGTTATTTCGCTGCTATAAAAGACCCTCAGAGGTAGTAGCCCCATTAAAATTGCTTATATTCTCATAATGGTCATCTTTTGCAAATATCTCAATCAGTTCATTATTTAATTCTGTGTAAAGTTAAATGCACATATTTTAACTCTTGAGCTTCTAGCTTTTAAGGATGGATATTTATCAATAAAGTTAAACTAATATTTAAGAAAAATAAGGTAATATAAAGGAATGTCCAGTTTGTAGTGAAGCATCTGATATTGCCTCCATAATGTCTTTGTGTACAAATGGCAATCACTGCAGCAGAATGAAGAGCTGGCCATTAGGCCAGTTCTTTGTACTTCCTCTCCAGACAAGGAGAGGAATTACTAAGATTGTCCTCAAGTACTCCAAAAAGTTGTTTCTTGTGAGCAGACAATGTCATCTGCATTAGAGCCCTAGAAGATGAGACAAAAGCCATCTTGTTCAAACTTTTAAAAGGGCACTATATTTGTATATTTCTTTTTCCAATAATTTTTGGAATTGTTAACTGCTTTTCAGCTATTAGGAACCTTTGGACAACAAGTTTTATTGTACCAAGAAAGTTTCCTTTAATCCTTAGCAAAATAAGTTTTAAATCCAAGTTTAAAGACTTAAAAATATAGAGGGATGGGGAGGGAATAAACAGCAAAAGAATGATTAGATCAGTGGTGGGTTGCTAACCGCTTTACTACCGGTTCATACATGCATGCACACAATGCTTCTGGTGGGTGGAGCCTCCCACCACCACCACTACCGGTTTGGCCGAACCGGGAGCAACCCACCTCTGGATTAGATTATTTACTTTGGAAAATTACAAAAATAACTAAAGGTTCAGATGGATTGTTGAAAGAAATGTCCTTCTGAGTTTGGCTCCAAGTGGGGAAAAAGACACTGGAGACATGGAGGCTGCTTGGAAAGATGGTTTTAATGGTGGACAGGACCACATGGCTTGAGTTCTGAACANGACGCGGAGCCCATCAGCGGCCAGGCAGATGAGAGCAAGGAGGCTGAGCTGGGCAGCTGAGCGCAACTGGCAGCCGGCAACAGTTCAGCCATGCCTGATTGGCTAAGGCGCGGCTGGCTGAGCGTGGGCTCTCAAAGCATTTCTATTGGTCGCCCTGCTTGACAGCTCTAGTATAAATAGCTGTCAAGCAGGACGAGGTGCTGAATCTTTGTACATAGTTGTTGTTGCTTGTTCTATTGAATAAATAGCTGTTCTATTTACCTCAGCTGCCTCACGCCTCTTCAATTAACTACGATTCCAACACATTTGAAAAAGCAGGGAGCAATCTTGTTCAAGGTATGAGATTCACTCCCAAAAATCCTCGGGTTATGAATGAAATGGGCAGGTTCCATTCGTAACTCAAGGACTATCTGTACTAGTAACTTAATTATAACTAAAGCAAATCCTCTTGAAACCTGGAAATTTCAGTTCACACAATACAGTTCCCCAACACAAACCGTTTGATGCCATAGGTTTGTCATCACAGATCTAGATGATTACAAATACCTACCTGCTTTCCTTTATTAAGCCCCATACCCTCTGGAGGAGATTCTTCTGCCTGGTTAACCCGGGTGTCAGCAATTTGCAGCCCTAGAGCCCTCTCCTGCAGCTCCCTGTTGCAAACTGCCCTCCCCCCCAAGAAGATATGCTGAAGCACCCCTAGCATTTTTGCCGCAATGCTGTCAAATGGCTGCTTTTTGCAATTCAGAGTCCTTCCTGGGCATCTCAGTACCAGCCGTGGTCCCCTTCATGTCAGCTCAGGAAGGAGGGGAATGTGGAGGAGCAGCCGTCACTGGATACAGGGAGGGAAGAGCTCCAACTCTCCTGCACTGTGCTGCTCTCCTGTGCAGTGTGACTACAGTGCAGCACAGCACAGCACAGCACAGCCAGCTATTCATTTCACTGCGCCATTGTGGCAGTGGGAGGAGGAGTCGCTGTTTCCGCCAGGATCCTGGCACAGGAGGATATCCAGGTTGTGTGCACAGGTGTGTGTGAGAGAGAGATGAGGAAGAGAAAAGGGGAGAAAGAGGCAGAGAAAATGAGAAAAGGATGGAGGGAAAGAATGAGAGAGAGGAAAAAGAGAAACAACTGAGAGAGTTTTTTAGAGTTTTAGAGTTTNCAACCCTGAGCCGGTGAGATTTGAACCGCTGACCTGCTGATCTAGCAGTAGCCTGCAGTGCTGCATTTAACCACTGCGCCACCTTGGCTCTTACAAGGTCCCCTCTCCCACAGAAAAGGCATTGTTGGAGGATTAGAGGTAAGGGGGAGGGTAGATAGCTTGCAGGCAGAGTTTGAAAAAAAAAACAAAACCCCACCAGTATTGCTGGTAACATTATTGGGATATCACAGATGAAAAATGGGGTCTGGATTCATATGCTTCAGGAAAGAGATGAACAGGTAAAATCATTTAAACACACAATACATGCAGGGATGAGACCTATTGTAAATGAACTTAAAACATTCTCTGGGTTTTTACTTTAAGGTACAGGGAGGGAAGGAAGAAAAAATACTTCTCTTTACTCTGTTTTTGTTGGCCAAATAAACACAAAGTAAAGACTCCCCCCACCTTCACTCAGTTTTCTGAGCCCGACAAACTGAGTGAAGGCAATTTCTGCCAGTTTACTCTTTTCTTTCTTTGAACAATTTAAAATTCTTGTCTTTTTGGATTGGAGACATTTTATAGTTACAATTATCTTGAGGGTGCACAAAGACAGCCACACATATATACAAGGACAAGGAGAAAATAAGAGGGAGGAAAATATAACTCTCAGGTTTACATATCCTAGTCATTCTCAGCACAAATCTGTTAAATGAGGGAAGTCACAAATTTTAACAAACAAACCACGTGGTTGCATAGAAGACAGAGAAAGAGACAAACAGACAAGAGGAAAAAAAAGAAAACCCAAAATTTTCCCTTTTCTTTTAAGTACCTTTATGTAGCCAAATTAGTTTTCCTGTATCATCTTTCAGCAAAGCCCATTTGCCACACAGTTTCCTGGTTCTCCATGTCAACCAAGATAGGTATGTGCCTGGCATCCCAGGCTTCAAGGAACTGTCCAAGGAAAATTCCTGTCACCTATGAGCTAACGCTTCCTACGACCCTTTACATGTAGGACTCACTTTGGCCTAGCCAGGTGACCCACTGTAAGTTTTTTGGGGTGTGTGTGGAAATTCTGGGAAGGACCTCAATTCCCTCAACAAAGTATTCAGCCCCTTTCCCCGTAAGGAATTCCGCTAAGGTTTTCCGGATCCAAAAAGGTAATCTAGGAAGGACCTCTGCCCCTCGGCAGTGAGTACCAGCATCTCCTCTCTTTACGCACAATGGGCCTTTGCTTTTTTTGCTTTCAGAGGACAAAAGCAGCAACAACAACAAAAAGTCATTCACTTTTCCATCCATTTTCACACACACAGTCCTTTCGCTAATAGAAGGTCCTATGCTCTGGCCTGACCCTAATACTTTCCAGGCTCTCTTGGTAAAACACACAGAGGAACCAAGATCCTGCTGTGATTGGGAGAAAGATTTCATCATCACTCACACACATGCAGGCATACACACATTTCCATGCTTTGCCATGCTTTAAAATTAAATTTTACAGAATTAAAATTTAGAGGTACTCACCTTCTTTCCAGGCAGCCTTTGAGCTCAAACTCAAAACCCCTTTAAAACCTAGATCCAAATGGCTAAGGCCAAGATAAAGCCCACCCACAGACTCAATGGGGTCTGTGCCAGCATGGGAAGCTTACCTGGGCCATATCCATT